ACAATGAGAACCTATTATATTAACCACCAGACGTAGACTAACAAGTCAGTCACACTTTTCTAGATGCTCCAATGTAAACACCCACCCCGCGCGACTAGCAGCTGCGCTCAGTCGCAGTCGCGAGCCGCAGCCGCCAGACGCACCACCGAAACTGCACCTTTAGGCCAACCAATAGAGCGAAAAAAGAGGCTGTTTTTACACTTACTTACTTTTTTACTTACTGTTTAATATCACAGCAAATTTCATGTATTTTCTTTTGAATAATACTTAGTAAATGAAAACCCAAGTGATTGCCCCATCAAAGTCGTGAACAATTTTTTTTTAAACAATAAAAACTGCAAAAAAGTTAAATTTTTTGTTTTTTTTATATCTCAAAAAATAATGATGGAACCGTCTTAAACTCAATACGGTTTTTGTAGAGAATAAAAAAACTTATAAAATGTTTTTTTTGTGCGACCCGATCAGTCCATTTTTTACAGAGGAAATCCGGAAAAACCTCTAAAATAGACCTTTTTTCAAAAATTCAAAACGCCGTCAAATTTGAAGCTGGAAAAACAATCTTGTGGAAAATAACAGATATGTAGATTAATCGTGCGCAAGATGGTTTCTGTCGGATGCATAGTTTTTGCACAATTGCTTTATAAACAAATTTTTTTTTGCACAGCGTGGCGATTCATCAAAAATGATCCGATTTAAATTCTGAAAACGGCATCTGAAAGTAGACGACAAAATCTCCAATTTGTATATCTCGGATTTTCGCCTGGGTGATGGGAAATATGCTAAAAATGCCCTTGAAAGTTGCCCCAAACGATTGAAAGTATGCTCGAGCCAGTGTCGGGTAGCGGTAGTGGGGAAGCAGCAAGCGGAGGACTCTCAGACTTTTCAGAATTTAAATCGAACCATTTTTGATAAATCGCCACACTGTGCAAAAAAAGACTAATTTGTTTATAATGCAATTGTGCAAAAACTATGCATTGGACAGAAACCATCTTGCGCACGACTAAACTACATATTATTATTTGTCATTTTCCGCAAAATTGTTTTTTCCAGCTTCAAATTTGACGGTTATAAATTTTTGAAAAAAGGTCTATTTTAGAGGTTTTTCCAGACTCTCTCTGTGAACAATAAACCAATCGGGGCACACAAAAAACCATTTTATAGGTTTTTTTATTCTCTACAAAAGTAAAACAATTCCATAATTATTTTTCGAGATATTGCAAAAAAACCGAAAAAATTTCATTTTTTTGCAGTTTTTATTGTTTAAAAAAAATTGTTCACGACTTTGCTGGGAAATCACTTGGGTTTTCATTTACTAAGTATTTTTCAAAAGGTAATACATGGAATTTGCTGTAATATTTAAGTGTGCCAAAAAATCTCTATTGGTTGACCTGTTACTTTAAACGCTTACTAAAAAATAAACTAAATGTTCCAATTGAACAATTTTGTCATATTAGCAACTGTTTTATACGGTATACTGAAGATTTAATTAGAAAAATTTACAAAAATACAAAAAATGTTGACAATTAATTTCACTATCACGATTACTTATAATTTTGATGTTTTATGGTGTTTTTTGCAAAACGAAGAACTAATTCCTTCAGTTATGGGAAAAAACATTGAAGTAATATAAAATTTTGCTTGATTATGATTTCCTTCTAAACCAAACATCTCCCAGTATAGCTAACTTGCCTTATTTACTATTCAGACAAGTAAAAATTATTAGTTTTTTTTAAACCAAATTTTTCCGATTTGGTGATAAAACGGTGCAAACTTTATAGCGGTCATTGTATAATTTTTAAAATATTGATATAGGAGATACAGCAATAAAATTTGGAAAATGCTAGTTACTGAAAAATAGAAACTAATATAAAACATTTCTTTCTGTCTGCAAAAACATTTTGGTTAAAATTTAAAATATATCTTAAATTACACATTTTTAGATATCGTAGAACAAAGTATGATTTGAAATATTTCCTTAAAAGAGAAAGTGTTGGCACCATTATTCAATATCCCATTTATTTTTAAATTCATGTTTAAAATGAAGAGTCGATACATTTGAAACTTATAGTAGTTTTTATTACAACCATTTACCTGAAATAGTAAAAATCTGAGGTGCCTACTTACATAATCACCTATTAATCGTAATATTTTACGAAACAAGGTTATAGTTTCTGGAGCAAGCCGAGTTGAACAACCACAATTACTGTAATGAGAATGTCAAAAAAATTATACACTGTACAATTTATTTCGGAACGTTTGTCCTAGGCTTATTTTATTCAATTTTCTCACTTTTTACAGGTTCCAAAAATAAATCCATACGGATCATACACAAATAATTATTACAGATACTGAATGCATTTCAACAGCTCAGGATATGAGAGACACTCATTAAATATAAAAAGTGCTATACAATGCGATATTTAGCTTACGGTATGATATGATACACTAAAACGCTACACTTGATGAGAAACAGAGGTGACAAGAAATGTGTGTGCCTCGTCAAAGACCGACACACGCTAGATAGTCAATTGTTTATAAAAATGCAACACAGGCCAAATTGAAAATACTCATCATTAAGGAAGTTACATAACCGCGAAGTACTTTTTTAAATTAATATTTTGCCATAACTTTGTCGTGGTTAAGAAATTTTGTCGATTCAAGTCACCTCTTAATGGCAAACAGTAGGCAGCCGAGTATTTTCTTTAAACACAAGGTCTTGTCTGTGCGTTTTCATAAGTATGTGTGACATTCTATCAACTATCGACAAAATAGTCAGCTGCTGATTGCCATGGGTTGCTTTGTTTATTAATTAAAGTCGATTATTAATTACACATGTAACAATTTATGGCTCGAAGTTGATTTATGTTAACATGGTATGAAACCATCAGAATTAACAGAGACGGACAACCAATGACCATTTTGTTGATGGAAATGAACATAACAAAAATAAACATGCGCAGCTGGACAATAGTTCCGACAAAAGAAATGCAACACATTCCATTTTTTGACCGACTTAACTGTCCATTTAGAGAATAGAGCATATAGTGTCGCAAAATATGAGGCATATTTACAAAGTACGACACTGATGCTATGTGGTTTTTGTTTTCGACAAGGTTGGCAATACTGCATTCAAGGCTAAAGTATTGAGAATAAAACACGGGCTCATTGCTCTTAGTTAGTTGAGAACTGTTGTTGTAGTGCTTCTTAAGATGAATGCAGCTATTTCAAATCCCGCCAACCGCAAGGTAAGAAGCATAATTCAGTTTCTTCTTGCAAAGAGAAAGGTGCCATTCCACATTTTTAACTAAATCAAAACTGTTTATGAGGAAGGTGTGATGAAGCTGGCAGAACGAATGTTCATGATGAACAAAGCAGAAAAATCGTGACAACTGTGTTTAGGGACCATAAAAAAGTTCTCCTCACTGACTTTTTGCCCCAGAAGAAAACAATTAATGCTACGCAGTACTGTGAAACACTACAGAGAGCGATACAGAACAAAAGGGGATAACAAAGGAACTGTGCCTGTTTCATGACAATGCACATCCCCACACAGCCAACATCACAAAGCAACTCTTGGATTAATTCGGTTGGAACATGATCAACCATCCCGCTCACAGCCCTGACCTGGAACCTTCTGATTTTCATATTTCCTCTTCTCCGAAAGCAGTAATGAGTGGAAAAAGGTTTTCTACCGACAATGAGGTCCATAGAGTGAAACAATGCACCCAAAAGACAGCGGAATATTTTTTTGACAAAGGTTTCAGAAAGCTCATCCTTCGACTCACAAAGTACATTGAGGTTGAAGGCGACTATGTCGAAAAGTAGTGTTTGAAGTACCTTTTTGAATATGTAAATTGTTCATAAATATACTGCCGTTCCGATTTTAAAAAAGTTGAATACTCTTACTTTATGGATAGGCTTCGTATTGTAAGATATTGTTAGACGAATTAAAATCATGATCATTTTTCTAGTCAATAAAGGCAACTTTAACCTTTTAAGCCTTCACAATTTTGAAATTTTTTGAAATAGTAAAGGAATTTTTCGAGAAAAAATTTACAGCCAATTTTAATTAAAAAAATATAATGTAGGGTTATGTTGTGGCGTTAATTATGAGTAATTTCTAGATGCCCTGTAAAATTTTTCAAAAAAATAAATTATGTGAATTAAAAGAAAAAAGTGCAATATTTTTTTTTACAATGAAAGGGAGTTTAGTGCTGCAGAACTGTAATACCTAGTAAATATATTAGACGATTTATAAAATATTATTTTTGAGGTTATAATATATAACTATCGTTAAATTTAATGTAAATGTATTACTTACTTTACATTTATTGTTAGATACTGTCGTGAAATTTGGCCTAGGTGCTTTGCTTTTAGATCTGTTTACTTATTTGTATGATGTTTCTAGAATAAATTCTGTTTCTATCATGTTCTTAGAAGTTTAGAGATTGTTCTATACTGTTCTTAGAAACCCATGGGAAGTTCAAGAGACAAATAATTCAACAACTTGTAGGTACTAAACACTTAAAACATATACACACTATTCAACAAAATTTGAATTACACATAACCTCAAATAAATGCATCAACTTCATTGAGCAGTCATACCAATATAGTAAAAATTTTGTTTGTCGGTTTCAGGAGGGAGAATCAAAGTTTGAATCCCAAGAGTTGGCTTCCTTTGACGTGAGCAGAGGGTTTTTTGTTTCTAAATTCTGTTTGCAAACTCAACCTCCGAAGGTAAATTTTTACTTAGGCCACTATTTTGTCTACGAAATAAAAATGGGTGCGAGATTGACTATCTAGTGTGCGCTTGTGTGTCTTTGGCCTTGTTAATATTACGATTATATGAGTTCACGTTAAGTAATAAGTCTATTTCATGAAAGTAAACAGAACGATCGTGACTAAACCACATAACGGCAATTAAAAAAAGTAAATTATAAAATAGCACATCTATTTAACTTTTATATTACAAATTATTAACTGATAATTATGATTAATATTATAAATATAAATGATTAGTATAATGAGCTTATATACAGAATAGAGAAATTATCGCTGCTTTAAATTTACAATAACATGGATTTAAACAAGTAGCAGCATTTCCTTACGATAAAAACTTGATAAAAAATTGTGCTAAGCAAGAGTTCTTTTATATATAACACAACATATCGCTTAAGCAATACATTCACGTGGGCGATCCTATAATTTGTAAATACGGATTTGTTCTTGTGTGTATTTGTTCTGTAATCAAATTAATATCGCTCAAAAGGTGACGTGTACCTCGACGAAAGTGAGTAATTTTGATTATCGCGTAATATAAAAATATAATATAAATGAAGATAACAACAAAAAATAATTCCTATTCTTTTAAATATTGCATAAATAATATACAAAAATATATCGTTAAACCTAAATGTTGACACGATTTTGAGGGTTCACACAAGACAAGGTTCCCTTTCGGTCGCTTAGGTGTTAAATAACGTACACTCAATATACGATGTTGGCACGAATCCCTCTTCATTGTCACCTAGCATTCGACGCACCCTTGTCCACCCGTCGCCCTGGTCCAACTCTATCAAGTGGAGGTCTTCGTCTTGGGCCATGGGTATACTGCCCTCGCTAGTTGCTGAAAAGTGTAAATTAAATTAGCACATTCATTATGGGTGTAACGAAAGGGTTTTTCAATAAGGGGTCATCCATTAATCACGTGACGTCCAAATACGGGTGGAGGGGGGCTTTGGATAACATCACTATTGCTCACAATGGGAGAGGGCCCGTCGCCCCGTCCGAGCTGGCTGACAACTGCCGCTGATTTTTTGCTGTTTTTATTTATTTATTTTCATAAAAAATATTCTGAAAATATTAGTTTTTCAAAAAAAAAAAAATACACGTGATGTTAGATAGGTGAGAAGGGGGGCGTAGCTTACAACCTCACCACGGATCACCAGGGAGAGGAAGGGTGTAAAAAAGTGGCCTAAAAACCTCATGTGATTAATGGACGACCCCTAAGAGCTTCTGGATTTTGTTAGTAAATAAAAAAAATGCAGAGAAAATGAGAAAATTGTAATATCTTTGTAGTAATACTTAATTATGGTCTATTACAATTAAATGTGAAAAACAATATCTGTTAAATAGCCACCACGGCTTTTTTGGCATGACATAACCCTTTTAGCAAAATGTGCGATGACGTCTAGTCTCATTTTTCAAATCGTAAATGGTTTGTGGATTGGTCACATATATCGTACTTTTCACGTAGTCCCACAGAAAGTAATCGAAGGGCGTTAAATCACAATCTTGACAGCCAGTTGATTTCACCGTTTCATGAAAGAATTCATTGACCGTAAGCATTTGACCGCCTTCATTTTCAAAAAAATTAGGCCCGTTTATGCCTTCAGCCCAAAAAGCGCACCAAATAGTGACACTTCGCCAGTGCATTGGCTTTTTATTGTCCCAAATGTGACAGTTTTGCTTATTAACATACCCATTTAAATGAAAGTGGGCTTCATCGGCAAAAATTATCTTCTTGCAAGAATCGTTAACAACTGTTTGGTTTTCGAGCACCAAATTAACAAATGTACGTCACTGCATATGATCGGCTGGCTTTAATTCTTGTGTGAGCTGAATCTGGTATGCGTGGCGACAAATATTTTGTTAAAATCCATCATGTTGCAGTCTGGGTAAGGTCTAGTTGCTGCGAACGGGGCGAAATAAACGTTTTTAGATTTTCAGCCACATTTTCATGAACCGTGGCAATATTTTCATCTGAACTACCTACACAAACACATAGTGGTGTGTGCTTTTACATCTTGAATGGACCCTGTAATCTTAAACTTATGCACTATACTACAGATTGTTTTTTCTGTTGGGCGGTTATGCTAATCAAACTAATCACGAAGTCTGTGGAATGTTTTTATTACAGAAAAGACGTTTTCATAGTACGTTTTAACGATATAAACACGTCGCTCTATTATGTATCGCTCCATGACTAAATCTGTACTAACCTAAGAGATACAAAGTAGCTTAAATGGGGGCAAAGTTGCGTTGTCAGGGGACCAAGATTATGATTATAAAAAATCAAGACTAACATGATTAGTTTTCCAAATATTTGGAAAAAAAAACGAAATTTTAGAAATCCGTATTTGTTTCATTTCAGCCTTGTTTGAGGTGATATTGAAAAAAGAAGAACACTTTCTCATGGCCACTTTTTGCCCTCTATCGGATGGCATAATCAATTTTTATATGTAACGTTTCGTAACCATCATCAACTTCATTTTTTTAAATACGACCCTGGAAATTTTATTACATTTTTTGCATGCCTTCATGACCCCCAATACTGTACTGCCTCAGTCCAAACCAGATTTAACGTTTTGTCTCGAAAAATTCATCTTTAGTGTGGTCGTTCCAAATTTAACTAATTTTTTTATTTGGATTTCTTTGTTTGTTGATCGAGACAAAACGTCTGAATTGGAGGTCATGAAAGCTTGCAAATAATGTAATAAAAATTCCAGGGTCGTATTTAAAAAAATGGAGTTGATGACGGTTAAAACGTTACATATAAAAATTAATTATGCTATTCGATAGAGGGCAAAAAGTGCCGCGAGAGTGTCCTTCGTTTTTCAATATCACCTCAAACAAGGCTGAAATGAAACAAACGGAATTCTAAAATTTCCGTTTTTTTCAAATATTTCGAAAACTAATCATGTTAGCCTTGATTTTTTAGAGGCATAATCTTGGTCCACTGATTACACAACTTTGCCCCCACTTAAGGTAGTTTATATCCCTAACCATTTCCGAGATCCCTGTAGTGAGAAACGAATTTGTAACAGCCTGTATGTAGGGGTCAATTTTTTAAGGATAATATTATGTGGTTCGAATATTGATTTGAAATTAGTACTGCCCGTTATTATCTTTTTAAACTAACTAACAAAGTGGCAGAGAATGAAACCATAATGGAAAAACAGATTGCTTTACAACATCAAGATCAGTATATTTGTTTCGAAGTTAATGAGAACGAAACGCTAAACATTAAAAATAGTTTCAATTGTTTAAAAAAATATATAAATTTTTACCATGATTTATTGAATATTTACTGGGCGTACAGTACAAACTCAATTATCCAAACTAGATGGGACCAATGGCGATCCTGATAATAAAAAATGTGGATAACAGAATGATATGTGTATTTGGAGTATTTTATTTCATTTATGATGTTTTTTTTATATAATCAATCGTAAAATTGATAGATTTGTAAATCTGTTTCTGAACAGTTTTGAAAGTTGATAAATTTTCAGTAAAATCAATTCTCATATGTAAATTTTAGTTATCAGACCTATTCCGCGTTTAGCGAAATTGACTCATTGGATTAATCACGCGTATTTCTGTGATCAACCTATCATCTTGCCGATTCACAACAATGCTCTTAGATTTAAAATATTTTTTAAAATCACATCAAAGTTTTTAATACAATTTGCTCCAAATCTTTTTAAAGCACCGAGTTCAGTTTGTGAATCTCAGTGTTATGACCTCTGACATTGACCTAGTTTAGGTGATCTACATGATATCATAAATCAATTTACTTGATGTGGTACTATAACAGGGCCTTAGGCGAGTAAAAAACAAACGGCCAACGTTAAATCACCGAAGATAGAATGGCTGAATATGTCACCACTTCATTCTGTTACATTTATTTTAGTGGTCAGGTAATTTAACGATATTTTGCATGAAGAATTAGTTTTTACTAGAATCGAAATAGAATTTGTATAGTGCAGATAATAAAGATTCCTATAATGTTACTACATAGCCTTTATAAATATTTACAAGCCACGTGACTACTAGTGTGCGGCTCCCGAGGAAAGACAATGGATATGACATTTTTAAATGTATGTGATTCTTTAAATTGTCGAGCTCGTTTATAAGAATGAAAATATCGAACATTTACTGTGAACTATCATGTAAGAACGTGACATGTCATTCCTTCTCGACATCAGCAGTTCTCAATAATTTCCTACATTTCTGTTAAATAAGGTATTAGTTTTATGTAACAAGATAACTATAATTAATTTCAAGTTTATAGACTCCTTGTATACGTCTTACATCGCAGTAATAGAATATCATTAAAAATAGTGACTGCAGTAGACATCCCCAAATAAGTCATACATACCTTCGAATGGGTATAAAGCCCTACAGGTTCCTATGGACGGCAGCATGTCAGCCTCGTAATACTCGCTCTCTGGATCGACCACATGTCCGTCGTACTGATCGGGGTCCGAATCCGCCCCTGGTAGTGACGTGTGAGAAGTGCCCAAACCACTTTCAGGGCTATTGGAACAACTATGTCAAAAATGTAAGCAAAATTTAAATAAAAGATAAAGAAATTAAGCATCACAAGAAAAAAAAAGCAATTCTGTTAAGAAGGACGCAGTTACTTTTTAATAGGATTAGCCGAGTCGATTTTCATGTAAAAACTAGATAGCAGTACATACTTGACCTTTTTCGAGTGCAAGGAAACTAATAAAAAAAATAACTACCCAGTTTTTACTGTAATATTTCAGAAAAACTTAAGTACAGTTAACCAGACCGTCACCCACCCGTGGTTAAGTTGTGGAGTGCCGGGAGCAGACTGTTTATTATGGTTCAAGGTGGGATTCGTGACGCTACTGTCACTGGCAGACCTGCTGAGGGACTCCTCCTCCGCAGCACTTCCGCCGGAGTTCCTATGATGCCTCGAACCGTTGAGTAGCTTGGGGGAATTCGTCAGAGAATTAGTTTGTCCCGACTGTATCCCCTTTATGGCATCGTCTAGGTAACCCTGGTACCGAATTAGTTCCTGCTGCAGCTTCTCTAACCTATGGCTGCACTCGTTCAACTGACCTGAAAATCAGAAGCGAGTTTGATGAAAGTCAGAAGGGGGATGAGGAGAATCAGTATTTTTTCTTGAAAAATGTAACTTGCTTACTTTCTATTGTTCTGGGGTCTCCTAAAGCGGGATTTGCTTCATATACACCTTTCATCTTCATAAGGCCGTCTCTGGCTGCGGCCTCTTGAGCTACTTTGTTCCTTAATTCTTCTACTTTTATCAACAGTTTCTTCCGCCTTTGATTAGGTGGCAGTTCGCTTAAATCCTCCTTTCCGTCAGAAATTGTAGCATTCTGCATGAACACAAAAAATTTATAAAAATCAATAACCAACAAAAAAATTTTGAATAAAAAAGCATTCCTGTGAAGTGCTAATATTTATTTATGATATAAAATATGGAACGAACGCTGTAAATTTTAACATGATCTGTACACTGCACAAAACAAATACACAGGGTGTTTCAAGAGAGGCATATAATATTTCTCATTTCAAACCGGTTTTGAAAAAATTGGAACAAATTCGCAACTTACCATATATTGATCATAAAACACCATGTATATCTGGATATGTAATTAGAAAAAGTAGAAAATTCAGGCGAAAAAGATTAACAGTTGTGAACATAAACTTATAGTTAAAAAGCGAAGAAGCACATACCTTTATTGCCATACAGACTTCAGAAAGCTTCTGTACGCATGAAAATATAGTAAGCATTAACCGACGTGCGTAAGACATACATAGTATATAGTTATATGTGATTTTTGATACACCGCCAACTTAACTTGTTACAGATACCGAGAGATATTTATTCACAAATGTTAGTAGCGATAAGTGTAAAATCAACTTTTAAAAAATATCTCTGCAATTAGTTTAAGTTCAATATTAAAAACATAACATAAAGTTGCATTTTTCTGATCTTTTAGTTAGTAGATAATTAATACAAACGAAAAAGAGAGGAATTTGAGTTTATTTCTATCAATTTTGCAGTTTATTTCTCCGATTCAAAGTAAATCACAACTGTATTAGTTATTAATAAAAATCATTGTTACAATCTTCATTTGGAGGTGTATTTTACAAACTTAAAATATGTTTAGTGTCTTGTGTTAAGATTGAAATAATAAACAAATGAAAACGTAGTGAAAAGCCTGAAATTAAAAAAGTATAGGATTTAAATCAAAATATAAAACATACCTATCAGAAAATCAATGAAACTTATTTACAAGTGAATATCACACAAAATTATGCAGCAAACAATGAATAATGCCACGTGAAAGATATATACAGCACACAGACATGACAAAATGGCATGCACAGTCCCAGTATCAAAAGTTACTTACTAGTTAAAGAAAATTGTAGTGCCGACGAGACACGCAGATCATCACCAAAAAGAGAGTTAGAAAAATAAAATAAAAAAGTTACTACTAAAAAAATTGAGACAAATTGTTAGGGCCATGAAATAATTATAGAATCAATCAAGAACAAAATACGGAAGAGGAAATTTATTTCTAATTGATTGAAACTTAAAAAAAAGGTACCAAAAAATGTCAGAAAAGCTTCCTAGAATTATTGTTTAAATAATTAATTAAAATAATTGTATAACATAAATTGTTACAATGTAGAAAATTTGAAGCTTGTCAGAAAATTTTCAGTCTATAATGTAAAAAAGTTAATTTCTATATAAAATTTGCACAAATATCATCTAAAGAGTTTTAAAAAACATACTAAAACAAATTGTAAGACTTCCATGTAATTAAGTTGTTAAAGTCTTAACAGTATTTACTTTTCCAATATTCAAATAACGGAGCAAATACGTGTGACTAATACATTTATTCTTATGAGAAAAGATAAAAAAAATTACTAGTTGCTAATTTAAGTACTTTAGAAAGTGGAAACACCAGTATTGTAAATTATATTCCAATCGAACGTAATTATTATGGAATAAGTTACACAAATAAAATAATATTCTAAACTAAAACAAATAAAGGTAGCAAAATTGTGAAATTTACTGAGCGCTGAACCATTTAAATTTCATTTTATTTACGTTAATGTGAAATTTCATAAACATTTTAATAAACAAATAAAAAAATTTAATAACATGGATAATTTTGAAGTTTTTACTGTTATTTGTTTAAGATGATAAAATATTTTTACCCATTCTAGAGGTTCTACAACTTTTTTTAGGAACTTTGAACTTCAGAGAAAAGTACAGATATTTCAATTCACTTTGTATATAATATTCTAAAGTTTACTCAAAAAACAATTTACATATACGTATTGACATAAACATACAGAGTATTAATGAAATACTCCACCAAACAATAATAGCTAATAAAAAATTCCTATAAAATATGTCCAGATATGCCTCATATTCAAGACACAGGGTGTTGGAATTAAAAAAAATCAATCACATCTTTTAAGAAGTAAACTAATGCATAAGCCTACGACATATTGGAAGTTGAAAATTACTCCAATAATATTTCACAATAAAAATTATACAAATTTTTAATTGGAAATACTATTTTAAATGTAATGAAATTATGAAATGTCTGAAGAACCAGTGCCATAGCAGTTTTTAATTTTCAGAAGGATAATAACTCCTAAAAAAATTAAAATTGCTACGCTGACGATGATTTTAACTTCTGATGATCACATTGCATTTGTTTTTCTAACAGAAAATTCCTATAATCTTTATTATTTTGAGTTAGTTTGATTTATTTAACTATGTCACAGGCTTATTTTATTTTTTAAAATAATAATTCAAGAATGGCTCGCTTTTTAGATAAAATGGATGAAAATTTTTTGTTGGAGATACCAATTGGAATTAAATGTTTACTTAGTGGCGTAGACATTTTAGAGTTCTTAATAACGGTGCCTTTGCATTGATTGCCAAATTTGTGGATCAGCTCAGCAAATTATTGCTCATAATTAGTTAAATTATCAGTCCAAGATTTTCCAATCTACCTCAAGCATCTTAAGAGATTTTTAATTAATAAATGAGAATCATTTTAAAATTTCAATATCCTATATCTTGAAAACGAACCATTTCTGGACACGTTTAAAAGAACTTTTTTGATTTGTGAGGGTATATGATTAACACCCTGTATACTAGGGAGGTTTAAAAGTCATCCACAAGCTGGCAAGGAGTAATTGTGCGACCCATGATTAGCCAGAATCACTAAATTCGATTTTAGTAAATGTTTTTCGTGAAATAGACTTTTAAATTCTCTAAAATTACTACATGTTTTTACATGTTTTAATGTTTTTACAATTGTTAACACCCCACTTTGATGGTAAACTAATTTGATTAACTTGTTATGTAAATTATTCAAAATACTCTAAATAGAAATGAAAAACAATACCTACATAAGATACATAACAATAGAAAGAAGCATATTCATTGAAATTTAATATTTTTAAAATAAAGTCAACATGAGCTACTTTTCTAGAAATGAACATTTTTTTAAGTCAAAAAGGGCAAGTTCATTCATTGATACAAAATGTGCATTAATCAAATTTCAATAAATGTTTTTAAATAAATCATTTATAATTCGGTGAACTCATATAACCATTTTTACATAATCCACTCAGCTTGGAGGCCAATGGCGGCAATGAAAAGTAAATCTGTGGAAGTTACGATATGGTTGTTTTGTTGGCAAACGCTTGTCAAGATCATGTTAAAAATAAGAATTTTCTGGAAAACTTAGAACTTAACGATTTTAAAAATTATTTTAGGCAAGGGAAATACTGAGGTACATATGTAAATGAAATTATTGTATAAAGTTGTTTATTTTTATTTAAATTTTGTACTAGGTATTTGTGAAAATAATGAAGTTAGAGAAAAATAGGAAAATAGTGGGAGAATTTTTTGATTCAGCATTAATTAATCATGAACCATTTCCTGACGAATTTAAAAACTTGACCAAGGCCAGTTTGATCCAGTACATTTTTTTTTGGCAACAATAATCATCAAAGTAGGGCGATAATTATTTAAAAAACCTCAAAACTGGAGGGGAGAGGGACGTTGAAAATCATAGTGGTTAATGAGCATTTTTTTTATTGGTTCCAATAATGAGATTCTTCTGCAATATTTGGCTAAAAACAGAATCACAAAATACCTAATTTTGTAGCTGTGGCATCCGAAACAATTACCTATGATACGAATTTCAATGAATTTAAAAAAGTGCCTATATCTCAAAAACTAAGACACTTTTAATTATGTCAAATATAGTTATTTCAATCTAAGCTTACCACTCCTTGCCAACACTGAGTTTTGAGATACCCTTTATACTTATAAATTTTGGATTCGCAGTTGCGCACATTTCAGGAATCACTGATCTAAACTACCTAAATATTATTCGAGTTAAATACGACTTTCAGGAAAAAATTATTCACGTGAAAAACTAAACACCGCACATCACTACTACATCAAAACATTGCTACTATGTAAATATGCGACATGTTTAAAATGTACAAAAGACTAAGATTCAACGAAACTACCGTTCATGTAACACAGGTTAAAACGAATTACTTTAAAATTGACAATAACAATAATTTGTTATATCATATTGGAGGTTTTTTGTTTTTATTTAAAATTAAGAATTAATTTCGAGATTAATTTACTCAGAGTATCGTACAGGGTGCAACTTTTATTGAGGGGTCAGTTTTTCAAGAGGAATGGTATGTGTTGCTCATAATATTAATGTGAAATGATTTTTTTTCAAAACTAATAGTTCAGTTTTTAGTAATGGTACAAAGGTGTTTGTGTGTCTTCATTGTCAAATTGTGTGTGATATTATAAAAACAACATGTAACTCATGTGGTGGGTTAAGATTTCACTAGCCTGTCCAGCGGGGGGTATTAAAATTACAAAAAAAAATGTAGTAGTTGTAGTCTTTTTATAAATGTGACCCCTATTCAAAGTCACACCCTAGATATATGTGTATATATTTTCTTAGTGTAAAAAAGTACATACCCCTCGGCTTCCGAATATGTGGAAAAGCCCCGTCCTCTTCTTCATTGCTTTACTCGTAATAGTCCCTTTCACTGTATAACCACCGTCTTTTAACTTCCCACTCACTTGTATATTATTAATATTATTAGCACTACCAGAGTCACTACCGCCCTTCGATAAGTCCTCGAACGGAAAATCTTCCGGCGGCTGGAACCCTGATTTGTATTTCTCTATCACTAGGAGGGTGTCCTGGAAGAGTTTAAGAAAAATTAGAACAAAAAAACTTCCAGACAAGCTGTACGACTTACTTCTTTCTCGTTTATTATATCGGCGGCTTTGAGGATGCCGTCTAGGCATTTATTGATGATAGGAAACACGTTACGTTCAATGTCCACCGAAGCACGGATGAAGTTCTTTATGTTTTTGATCCTCTTCTCGTCCAGTTCCTGTAACTGCCTGAATACCTCTGGCAATCCTGACCTACAAGAAATATTAACGATATATATATTGACAATGTACTAAAAAATTTGAGAGCACTGAAAATTCAGGCAATTTTTTTAAATGTATGCAAATTATTATACAGGCTATTACAAAAATAGTAAATCAAAATGTTAACAAGATTTTCTCTGCAGATACCACCGTACTTTTTGTGTAATTTTGGTCAGAAAGTTTGGTTCGTTATCAAGATATTGCAACTTCTTTATATGTAACACGAATTTTTTTGTTTACGCATCCTGTATCTTGGAAAAAATGTAATTAAATGGAAAAATGGCATAAGGATTATTCCACTTTTGTCGCTCAAAGAACCCTTTGTTAATGCCTTGCACTTTTTTTGTAACACTGTGTATACTACTAATATCACAGCAAAAATTTCCACATACTATACTTTATAAATCACGAGATAATTTTAAAAAACTTTCCCAAAGTCGAAATTAAAATATTCACATATTTTAGAATTCATATCTGTGTAATATAAATTAAATTTCGAAACAAATACATTCTATAAATCCATCTATAAAATATACCACAGCAATTATGTAAATATATGCTATCAAAACTAGATTTATTATTGATTAGCAGAACATTTTTTTTTTTATACACGACAAGCCAAAAACTTACCTAAAATGTTGCCTCTGCAAGTCATTCGTCCTCTGCAATTGCTGTGCGTATTCGTTCTTCGCCGCATCGCAGGCCTGCGTTTTGTGGGACATATTCGATCTCTGTTTCTCCACCTCTGCCCTAGACAGATTGAAATCAGCGTCAGCCTTTTGGAAACTCTCTATGGCCTTCTCAGACTCTTTAAATGCTTTATCATAGGTCTTTTTCGCCCTCTGTAGAGTTTCTATCTGTGCCTGTAGTGTCTGTGACAACCTAAGACCTTCCTGAAGTTGTTTCTAAAATAATACAAAGTGTAAATAGCTGACCTGGGCATTAATTAATTCTTTCAAAGTGTTTTTATTGGGACTGACTTAAGGAAACGCAATTAATGTTAGGAAATCCAATTAATAGTTACGTATTTGCTAAAGAACATCTTGAAAGTCTCTTAATATGCAAATTGTTGTTGTAATTATTATTAATTACGATGGAAAATTTATGTATATGCAACGCTTCTATCGGTTACTAATTTGTTTTTTCATTAGTTAACAGACATTTATACAGACAGTAAAATTTAAAAAACTCTTCTCTATTTAACGAACCCATGCGTAAAATTGAAAATTGACTGATACTGAAGAATATTAACTGAGATATATAAAACATTTTAATGCAAAGCATAATAAAATTAAAGAAGAAAAAGTTCTGAAACGGTATTTTGATATAAAATCTACAAAAGACGGTTAATTGTTTAATTATCAGTTTTTGATTTAATAAATTGTTTAAGAAATTATAATTCGCTTTATTTGTGGCCCCTTTTTTTTATTTTACAATAAATTGGCCAATTTATTGGTCAAATTTAAGGCTATGTACCAATATTCCTAATAAAAATCATTTCTTTAAATATTTGAAACAAGTTTCTCAACTGCACAATTTAGGACTAAAGTTGATAGAGACTATTGCATATATACACTCTAAGTCACTAAAAATTTAAAAAATTAGCCAATAAATTAGAACCAGTTCTATCATCACCAATTTTTTTGGACAATTTATTGAAGGTTGATCTTAACTTGCCAATTTCTTGAATTAAAAATGAAACCTATAAAATATCTATGTACTATTTTTTTACAGTTTGTTCAAGGAATTGTCATAGGCGTAGCTACAATTTGCTTGGGGTGGGCACAGGGCTGCAAGCTCTATAGAGGCCTCTAAAAATAAATAAATAAAAAAGCTCTCGCTCGCAATCAAAAAACTTATTGATATGACAAAGATGATACCATATTAGATATTTTTTTCTGAGGTGGGCACCAACCTCTCTGGGGTGGACCGTGCACACCCCTGCCCCCCTAGCTACGTCCATGGGAATTGTTATTATTTATTTAAATTGAGTTTTTAAATAGTAGAATTTAACTAAAACGGGTAAGATAGTGTTATCGGTGGAGTAGCTTTAGTAATTAATAATTAAATAAATATAATTTATGACATGCTTTACCTACCTTTCGTTCCTCCCTTAAATCTTTTACTAGAGCAGTCAGTTCTTTTATCACATTTGCCTGGAGGTCTTCCGCCACAACCTCATGCTGTCCTGCCAAGTCATTTATCTCGTTCATAAGAGCCTTAAATGCTTTGCAGGATGTAAATCTGCAAAAAATATATATTTATTTCAAGAAGCTAAAGCAAATCGTTTCACAAGTTTTTTTATTTAATAAGTTCTAATATTGCCCGCAAAATACAGGGTGTGGCGTGTATAATCTATAAAAATTAAACTACAGGTTCCTGATGATATTTGTAATAGAAGTATTATACGAAAAAGTTCTATCTTCGCATTTTTTTGTAAATTAAAGTTCATTTATTCAAAGAAAATGAAAGCCGACCCTGTGTTATTCATTAAAAACTTTGAAAATATTTTTATGCGACCCGAGATGCAATCTTATAATTTAAGTCGGTATAATCTAATACTAGTAATACAAAAAGAAGGTTAGGTTACATTGTCAAAAAATTTGTGCAGTCAACTGATTTTGTATTTGTATTGAATTCATTATTCACTTAATTATTAAATATTAAACATCGTCCATCGACCCATCAGTGTTTAAAAGTGAAAAATTCCAAACAAAAGTTTTTATTTTGTAATTCCACGATAGTGACTGTAATTTTTATAAAGAAGTAAAAAATAAGAATAGCGTGCCGATTACATTAAAAACGAGATTCTTATTTCTTACTTTGCTTAATTTTTTAATTTGTGCATAAACTAGTTTTACAATGAACCAAGAAAACAATACATTTACTATTTTCGAACGTGTCGATATGGTGTTAGTGTATGGTGCAGCCGGAGAAAATGCGCTCACGGCGACTAAGTTGTACCAGGAACGATGGCCATAACGTCACACCCCATGTGCAAATACAATCCTACAGTGCGTTCAGCGGCTGCGAGATACGGGAAGTGTTATTCCTTGAGTAGAAGGACGTGGTCAGCAAGTGAACCTTAATGTTTAAGATGCAGTGTTGGAAAATCTTGACGAAGACTCCACAATTAGTACTCGACGACTCCCACAGCAAGTAGGTACCTCATCTCGTACCGTACATCGCATCTTAAGACGCCAGCTGTTGCATCCCTATCATCTGCAACCAGTTCAACAGATTTTACCGCCGAATTGTATATATATGCACATATGGGCCGATGAAAATCCTCACGCGATTAGGGAAACTCATTTTCAACATCGATTCTCGGTAAATGTTTGGGCTGGCATAATAGGCGATGTACTTGTGGGTCCCTATTTCTTTGAAGGACGACTTTTTGGAGAACCGGTTGCCTGAATTATTAGACAATGTGGCATTACAAGTTCCGGCACGCATGTTTTAGAAGATGGGGCTCCTCCGCACAGTACTCGAGAAGTAACGACACTTTTGAATGAAATATTTCCTCAGCGATGGATTGGACACTTTGGTCCTGTGCCGTGGCCACCTCGGTCACCCGATATAACTCCAATGGACTTTTATCTTTGGAGTCACTTGAAGTCATTGGTTTGCAATACCCCAATTGCTACGGTGGAATGGGGATCAATTTCAACATTTTTTCTAAAAATCGTAAGTTTTCTTTCATTTTGTTCCATATTTTAATAGAGTTTGTTTAGTACACGCAGTTGGCAACTACAGATGCTTACGGATGTGGTTTTGTTTGTGAACTCTTGCAGTAACAACAATGCATTTAAGATAGTAATTACTATTAATTATTATAATAAGAAAATATCAGTTTCTTTTTTTAAATATCTATTTTTCTTAGTTTGTACTTTTGTATTGAAAAACTCCCCAAAAATTGAGAAGTATCTTTCTATCTTTCAACGACGATTTGTTTACACGGCTGGTCTACAGCACGTAATTCATCGTACAACACACGGACAGAACCGTTCCAGAGAAAATATTTTGATCCATAATTGAACTTTAATTTACGAAAAAAAAACCGCAAAAATAGATTTTTCGTATAAGACTTTTCTATTACAAATATCGTTAGGAGATTGTTGTTTAATTTTTATAGATTATACACGTTACACCCTGTATATCCAATGTCTGAATAATAGTTATTTTACATCTCAGATGGAATAAGAAAATAAGGTTAACTAACAATTTCATGCTGTTGTTGGTACAAAAAAAAACGTAATTTAATGCTACATGGATTAAATTGCTGGTCAATGTCTTCTTAAACATACAATGTATGGAATTTTAGTATTTCAAAATTACATATTTGTGTACACCACATTTAAATAACAAACACTTCATTTTAATTTATGTAAGATATGTAATTGTTGATACAATTTTTTTATATTTGACATCATTAAATTTATTAATAATTTGTTAATGATAATAACGGCTGATTACAGCTGACTAATTCGAATCAACAAACTAATTTACATTGTGAACGGTATGGCAAATAAAGAAGTGTTAAAATCCATGTCTTTTTTTAACACCAATTTATTAACTGTACCTTCACAGTACCATTCTGAACAATTCCAGTGGCGTTTCTCCAATTTTTTTAACCATAAATGGTCGTATAATAATATAAGAGATAATTAATTAAGTACATACATCTTTTAATAAGTTTATTTTTTTAGTTTAAAAGTTTTAGTTGCTACACTATGGATGTTACAATTCTCTGAGGCTGATGATGATTAAGACAACTTGCGTACTAAAAAATCAATAGATGAGTCAGACTCAGACCTATTACTCATTCTGAAAGGATATCCACTGATAGACATGTCTTTTAAATTGATATTAACTTTCTGAGGGGACATATTAGTCGCCATAAGTAAAACATACATCTAAAACATATCACAGCTTTGAGAATACCTTTACCACACTGGTTTGCAAAACTTATTTTGTGACATAATAGGTGTTCAGTAAAAAATATATTTAATCTTCAATATGATTCATTTTGAGTTTGACACAGGGATATCCACCACATCTGCGATAAACCGTGAATCATTTCTTTGGTTAAAAATACATCATATTATATGTATACATTTTATCAGTAAATGATGCACTAGTTTATTTTCACTAAAGATCATTGACAACCCTGTGGGTGTCTCCTTCCGCTCAAAGATACAGTGGAGAAAAATCGAGGTCAAACTTCTATTTGTCCACTCACACAAAATTGATATTTCTTTCATAAATAATTTAGAACATTTTCTCAAATAAATCGTACTTGATACATGGTTTAATAATAAGCAAGTTTTTTTATTTTAATTATCAGGGTGTATACTAAGTTTTAACCAAAAAAATTTCCTGATATTTCCAGGTTTTCCCCAGGTAGATTTAAAATATGTTCGAGCTTGCGAAGATATAAGCTTTTCTATTTCAGAAAACAATTTTTGCATGTCTGCATGCATACGAAAAATGGGAAATCCCGATATACAAAGAGAAAGTGAATAAATGTTTCGATCAATATGTGGAATTTTTGCTAAATAAGTCCGTTCTATCCCGCAGCTCATTAAAATTAATTATTCGAGTGTTTGCAGAAAACGATTTTACTTGTTGAGGGTACATACTCAAAAACAGTTGCCGCTTTATTCTTAATATTAATAGCAGGCCGCGAGCGCATAAGAAAACGCAATAGACGATTACTTTATAAAAAAGAAAAATATGTACAAAGAAACGTGCAATTAAATTCGCTCGCCAAGGTTGCAAAATGAAAAGATTGGTTGTAAGCGTTCAAATCCGATATCATAATATTACACGCGTATTTACAAATCGCGATTTATAAACAAAAAGCGTGATTGAAATAATTTCATTCGTAATTTATTACATCAGCGGCACCGCGATGAAATAGAAGTTGGAAAAAATGTAATTCAAGAAAAAAAATAACACAATTATTGCTTTCTGTACATACCATTTTTTTTTCATAAGCAACTTTAAAATATTATACATAAAATGAGTATCAATCTCTTAAACTTCTTTTCTCCAGGTTTTTTATTTTTACTGGAAACGATACAAAAATGGCTGGCCTTCACGCGCGTAAAAATATAAACCTGTTGTAATGTAGGAAATGAAAATTACTGCACTAATTTGTCAATTACAAACTTGCATTGTACAGATCTCTAAAAATCGTACAACCTACGTAACTTGGATATAAAATATTAATAGCGTGTTTCCACATTTGTAATACCACATGTTAAGTTGTTTTTATCGTTTGTTAGGTGAAAATTATACACCTTTTCATAAATAACCTTCTAAACCGCTATAACAATTAATAACAATTTAATATAATAATCTTTAGGATTCATAAAGGACAATAATACGAGGCTTGTTCAGAAAATAACCGAACTTTACTGTTTAAATTTTATTATTAATTTTATAAATTCTTGGTCCTTGTCCCCTTTAAAGTACTAACCCCCCCCCCCTATTCACACATTTTTCCCAGCGGTGTTTCCAAGTAGTCCTGGATAACTTCATTTGAAATGGTCTTTAAAATCTGCAATGAATTTGCTTTTATGTCATAAAAAGTCTGAAAACGGCGTTAATTTAGGAAATAAGAAAAAATCGCAAGGAGACAGGTGTATGGCTAGTAAGGAGGGTGAGGAACAACAATAATCTGATGTTTGGCAAAAAACTGATGAATTGATAAAGCTGAGTGTGCGGGCGCATTGTCATTGTCATATTTTTTAAAAAAATGACGTAATTAAGTATGTTAATTGAGATGATTTTGTTTTAATTAAGGAGTGTTTGTTATTTTTGCGATTTCAAGCAAATACCGAGTCAAAGCCTAAAAAATCTGGCTCGTTTCTGAATCCAAAAATGATGTTCTAATTTTATGTGTTACTCAAATAGATTCCAAATTCCTTTAAAATAGTGTTAGACGTTTCTTACAGAACGGCTACATGAAAAAAAAAAACAATATTATTGGCTTGTCTGAACTTTCATTAGAAATAAGTATCGAACATCTATGTTAAGTAATTTGTCTGACCATGAAACTGGCACTTAATATTAAGCATAACCTAGATTTATCTTAGTGTTCTCGAATTTTAACCGATTAAATTAACGCTACGAGCATTTTCAAAAGGTGGACTGAATTTTAGAAAACACTTTCTATTTTTTTAGACTAAAAAATATTGCACCGCCCATTTACCTAAACATAACGATTATTTACTTAA